CCCAACTGAAATTTTATACAGTTCTGAAGCCTGTATTGTTAAAAAATGCGACAAAAGTCGCATATCGTCTACCGGAATGAGCAGGGAAGGGTTGTTCTGAGGAAAATCATATGCTAAAAGTTGATATCCACCGATGCTTACATTTGATGTCAAAATAATATCGTCAAAAGTAGTTCGACCGTGGTATAAAGAATTGAAGATGGGCATATTTCTTATATGGTTTGTAAATATAAGCCAAAAGGACGAAGATACGTAGGTCGACAGCGGAGAAGGTGGACTGTGGAAGAGGAACAAGCCTATGGCCTAATCCGTTATGTTGACAATGATGGTATCGTGAAGCAGCTGAGAAAATGTGGTCTGAATATCTCTGGCGGATTCGTCTAGGCGGAATTATAGAGAAAGGCTGCAAGGAGCAAGGTCCGTTGACTTATAGATAGAAGAAAGATAGGTCCACGGTCGCTCGTCAAGATGAGAGAGGTTTGGAGTTGTTTGCTAAGGAAGGTTCACCGACCAATCGGATGGTACCTCTTCTGAAAGTATAGGCATCATGGTGAGAGCACCTCCAATATGTGAACAAAATTTCAGGGTAGGTCTTTAGTGGAACCCTAGTTCATAAAAATATGAAATCTTGGGACCTGGCGCCACTGAATAAACTTTGGTACCTCTTCGACTGCATTGTTGACACCTTAAATAAAGGCTGCCCATCGAAATTGGACGCTCTCCATTATAACACCTTTTAGCAACAATTAATAGGAAAATTGAAAAAAAAGATATGAAGGGAAACAGGGCGATTGAGAGTACAGTAGCATTATTTTTAGAGCATAAAGTAGATAAAAAAATAACAACATACAGGGAGTTGAAGTCATACATTCTAGATCGAAGAAAACTATTACTACGGGTTGTGTTAAGATTATGAATAAAAATTTTGTACATGAGCTTAGCCAATACGTAAAAAAATTTTCTTTTCCCAGGCTGCATAGAAATTGGGAAATTTTGACCTTTACTGGAGAATTTACAAATTATTTCCTGTGTCACTGACTTTTGAGATATCTATTGTATGTTTGTGTAAGGTATTCAATTTTATGAGACAGTTTACTTGACAAATTTTTGTTAAATTACTCTTTTAAAAATTCTGTTTTTTTCCTTATCCAGTCTTGAAGCTTCGTAGAAATTACAATACTCTTTATCTTGGTAACGGAATATTTTAGGAGTTATGCTTATAGTTACACGAACTTTTCTTGTTATTTTTGGATTACTTTCGACTTGAGAGATATTGCCTGCCATCAATTCACACTTGAATTAATCTGAGCATCCTACATCTCACTAACGAAGCTGTAAAATACGTATAAGTTCACACGAACTTTTTTGTTCAGTTTTGTAAGATATGTCAGGTGGTATACGAGTAGTATAAGCCAGAATAGCAGTAGAAATAAAAAACGAATTTGAAAAATTCAAAATCATAAGCGACCAAAATCGGTGCGTGAACTTTTCAATAGTATTTGAAAAGTAAATCGCAAATATCCATCAAGAGGAACCAAGTCGGAGCTTTAAACCTAAGGTCACTAGAATCTTTGTACAGAGCAAGGATGTTACATAGTAAAATGACCTATTAGTTCTAAAGAGGTGACCCAGTTTCTTCCCAGTAGCTGCTACGATTGACGTCACATGATCGTGCGATTTGAGCGCAGTCGTGCCTACGAGGTCCGTAAATTAAGTCATGAAATTGATTTTTTTATTACAATTTTATTTTGTCACCTTCAAAATAACTTCCTTCTGAATCGACACAGCGCTGGAGACGGTTCATCCACTTCTCATAGCAGCACTGGAACTCCGATACTGGAATAGCCTTCAGCTGGTTGTTGTTATCAACTATCCCCTTCAGGAAAAAAATACTCAAGTCAGGCGAATAAGGAAGCTGAGGAACTGCAGGAATGTTTTTACTGACCAAAAACTTGTATTGACATTGCTGTGTGACAAGAAGCATTATCATGATGCGACAACCATTTATTCTTGATCTGATGAACGGTGGTGTGAGTCAAATTTAACTCTTGTCCGATCATTATGACTGTCAAACGACCCCGGGTTGTTTCGACATTTCCATCGGTTCTTGAAGGTTATGGTCTTTCCGTTCATCTTCAAAAAACCTGTGCTCTGCCCAAGTCTGATGCAAAACCTAATAGTACACAGTTGCTCGAAATTGATGTCATTCAGTTTCAGAACACAATAGGAAAAATCGTTACGGACAACCGAACGACTCGAACGAGTTCAAACTTGTACTGAATGCGAAACACATGTTCCCCTGTCTCTCCTCCAAGCCTCGCGCCTCCAGTATTGCCAGATCGAACGCTACGTTGCCAGTCTCGTCACTTAATTTACAGACCTCGTATATCCACAGGGTGTAACATAAGTAACGAAATAGCTCTGTATTTTAAAAATAAGGCACATTTATAAAGGGTCAAGGTCAGGCTTTGAATAAGACCGCGATGGTTAAGCCTCACCTTCAAAGTTATTTCAGGGTCAACTTTTGTTTTTTAATAGCCGGCTCCCATTTTGACACCGGCAATCGAAAGAATGGCAAAAATTATTTTTTTATTTATTTTTATTCCAAAATACACTAGTCTACCTTGCCGAAATGAATCACAAGCCATTCCGAAAGATAATTGTTATATTTATGCGAAAAACGAAGGTTTCATTTTTTCTCCTAAACAAATTCAAACATTTCGTATTTGTCAGTTACTGAACAGATTCGCTACCATATTCGAAAACATACGTTATTATACACATTTTAAAACAAATCGGATGTGTCTATCACCTTTTACTGCGAAGAAAAAAATATACTTTTATGTACAAATACGAAATGTTTGATTTTGTTTAGAACGTAGACCTTCGTTTCTTGCATAAAGATATCAATTATCTTTTGGAATGACTTGTGATTCAGTTTGGCAAGGTAAACTCGTGTATTTTGCTATAAACCGCCCTTTGAGCGAACCCTGTATATTGCTCAATAAACTAGTAGTGATGGCCGGAAGACAGGTGTTTTGGGATAAACATTTAGAAACTACTTGACCAATCGAATCCAATTTTATTGTGGTTATTAAGAAGTAAGAAGCCTTCGGATTTGAAGAATTTCAAGTAGCTGCGTGGAATTACCGTCGCATTAGCAACAAGTGCGTTTTGCCTTGGTTTTCGGTCATAGCCTTTTTATTATCAGTTGGATCTTTTCACATGTGGTCTCGTCCTGTAGGTCTCATAAATACCTAATAATCTTATTTGAAGAGTTTTCTCGTTCCTGTCAACACTTTCGATTGAATCCCAAAAAACATGTTTTCTCATTCTTTGTTGTTACCCACATGAAACAACTTGCATCAATAAAACCAGACTTTAGAATTATTTCGGGAAAATTTGCTAACATGATTAGACTATTAAGCAGGATTATTGATTAAAGAGTCAAGACAAGTCTTTTTGAAAATGACTTCTATAGTTGACCTTGGATTTAATTTTGAGCTTCACCTTCAAGGTTATTATAGTTCATAGGAACGTATAAGAACCTACATGTTCCATTGCCAGTATTAAAAAGGTTCCTAATTAGAACAAGTTGACCTTGAAATGACTTAGAAGCCAATGTCACTATTGAAATCCTTACTAAGAGAAGCAAGATTTTTTTCGTCAATCCTGCTAAACTTCTATCCTTACATATTTGCCCTTTAAAGCTGACCTTGGTCTTAGATTTTAATACATATGCTGACGTTTTTTCGATTGTCGTTTGGAAAAAGTTGACCTTGAACTAACCTTGCTGCTTACATTGCATTGTTTGTCTCCAAAATCGCGTAGTTTCAGTGCATACTATTGACTCATTTCTCAAACAATGGCTACCAAAGCGACAGCGCTGTATCAACAGAATAATAATACCTTCCAGTGGAAACATCTACCTTCATTAGGCTTATGCCGTTCTTCGCTAATTATTTAAGAAGTACCATGTCTTGAAATCGTCTAACACCGCAATTATCTGCAAACACTCCCACTTTTCGAAAAATAACACTAGAATAGACTTGTGTCAAGTGCACTTTGATCCTCACTACAGACTATGATAATAGGGAGACAAACAAATCATTGACTGGGTCCTTCTTACCTAGTCTGAATTCGATGAATGCGCTGGAACGCCGAACCCGGTCATTGATACAACAAAATAATGGCTCATAATCGGCCAAAAAGTATCGTATCTGCCACGAACGTTTTCTTAGGTTCCACGATAGGATGTTGGTGGTAAAAGTTTAACTTTTGGTGAATGCGCTACTCATTACAAAGGCATCCGCCAAATTTTAGGATAGATTTTCAGCAAATATACAATCATGTACACCAAAAATGTTACAAATGAAGTGTAACCTAATCCATGACTGCAAAAGTACGCCATATTGTGGTCTCGATATAGAGGTATTCCGAGGTAGTCTATCTTTGACCTATGAAGTACTCATAAATCACGTTCAGAAGAATTGAGGTGGGCATCCTCCTTATGAGCTTGGCTTTGGACAAATTTCCATTAGTCACAGGTTTTTATAATTTGTCTGACACGATGCTTTATATCGATAATTTTTCTGACTCAACTATTTTATCCAGAATAACCTTTTTGGTTAAACTTAGCAATGATTGACAGTTGAATGGAAAGTTATATTTCCGCTACTTTGGTGTTGTCACGGTCGCAACAATTATTCTTCTCATTGATTCTCATTCTGAAAAAGTCTCCTAACTTACTATGATTTAGTATCAATCTCATTATTAGGGTTGAATAAAATCTTCCGACTTGATTATATCATGTTAAGTGGTTCAATTAGTTATCTACGTAGCTTGGAATCTGTGGGAAGTACCAAGTCGATTTACTTGTCGCCGTCTTTTTCCGGCTACTATACGTCAGGAAGACGCCTATCTCCATAAATGTGTCAGTTTGTGGGAAGGACCGGGTCAATCTGCCGGTCGTCACTTTTTTCTTTTTTCCTGTATACCAGACTAAGCACAAGCGTTGGCGCGAACGGTGCGAACGTCAGAAGGACGCCGACCTGGTTAGCTGATAACGTCACAACGCCCGTTAGGTAAGATCACGTGTTGCTTGTGTAACGGGGGGAAACATTGGCCTCGATCGTAAAGACTGACGGGGATTCACTCAGTCGTAACACGCATTCACACGACGCACCTTTGTTGCTGTAGCACCCCATGCACGTATCCAAGGGGAAAATCGATTATTTCGATCAGTGGCGTACCTTTCATAAATAACGGCCCTACAATTACACCACGACCCACTAGAGCTATAAACAGCCTGAACTTGGATCCCCCAGACCACCACTGCGCCCACTCCTGAATTAGTTCTTAAATCCGCCCATCGCTGGCTGCGTTCACTAGCACTCTACAGACAAATCTTAGCATTGTCTGCAGTACGCTTTAGCATAATACATTTATCGACAACAGCTAAATCATACTCTAGACAGCTATTGAGGGCTAGTGAACATTGCCAATAACTTTATGCTCTTATTTAGTCGACACCGACGAGCGTTTTCATTGAAAGCTAGACTAATACTGAAAGATAATGTTACTATAAAAACCGTTACTACCGAAAGCAACTGGCGACCGCAACCCGATGGCAACCGTACTAAAATATAGGCGTTCTCACCATAGCGACGGCAACCAGAGCAGTTGCTCGATGGTTGCTGGTACGGCGGTAGCCAGTCGGTTTGGAGCTGGCCCGTTTGACTCTGGTACCGTAAGGGAAAAGAGCAGCTAAACACATACGCTACTACTGCATGCGTGACGTCTCTTTGAGAGAGATACCACGCTAGGAGTGGCGTGTGATGTGATTTGCTGATATCTCCCATTTCGGTACTCGAATATATCATCTGTTGATGTCATTGTGATATTTCAGCTACCGTTCCGATCGTTTCCTCAAAGATCTTGATATAATTCGATAAAAGCTACTTCTTCATCGCGCTTCTGTATCCGTCGGAGTAATTCATGTGGCAGCAGTGTTGAGAAGCGTCAAGACGTGCCACAGTTGATACAGAAGCGACAAGTAGTGGAGGCACAATCTTCACGAACAGTGATTTAGTAACTGATATTTATAAATCGCGAATCATGACTTCTAAAAGTATCGAGAAAAAGCGTGACGTGATTAGGATGATTTTGGCCATCTCTAGTGACAAGCGGTCATCAGACTCAAGAAATGTGTTTGCGTCCAAGGTGCTACCTTCTACCTAATAATATACTACCACATACGTATATATTCATTTATCTGGCTAGATTTTATTTGTGAAGCAGGCTACTTATACGACTTTCATTCAATCAGGCTTTTCAAGAATACAAATAATATGTTTATATTCCGTTTTCGAACTTTTTTCACAACATCAATACGACACTGCCAGTTACTGGTTGCTTTCGGTGAAGTCGAACTTGGGTTGAAGTCAAGTTGCCATCGGGTTGCTTTTGGTGAAAATACATGATCTGTCAATTGATTATTTGTTGTTCTTAGCCACATATAGGCAGGCCACAGATAGATTTAAACATTTTGTCTCGAAACAAATGGATCTGCTTTGGCTAGTTGCACTCTCGCGCGCAGTTCGAAACGTTCCTGGTTCGAAACAACTTTTATGTAGACAGTCTTTTTTTATTTTTAATTCAACAGTGACCACGTTGTTCTTGCAAAGTCCTTTCATTGCAATATCAGAAAATTAATATTTTATAATAGGTTGTGTTAATAACACCGCTGACAAGCATATGACATCAAATCAAAATAATCGAGCCTCGACGGTCTCGAGATATTTCGGTAATTCAGGAAGGGTTGAGGTCGAAAATTGCGAAGCGTTTCACAATGCCTCGCGGCAATGTTTCTACCAGTGATCGGTGTCCCATAAGAATGTACTGTTTAAACTTTGCTTGCACCATGGCGAACCGTTTCGACACAACATGTTCTGGTCTGTCTGTCTTTGGCCGGCCATAGGGGTATTTGATTTTCACTGATACACTACACAGTAACAAATAAAGTTCCATCTCCTTGAGGCTTCTAGACGCTCTAGATTATTTTACTTCCCACACGAGGAAGCATTCGAATCGCGAAATATTCTGAAAACGAGATATGATGTTTCTTTGATGTTATATGACATGTAACATCGTAATAACTTGGAAAGAAGGCTATTACTGTGTCAAGGACGAACAAGTTTTGTAGTTTTTCAAAGCCGATAAAAAAACGAAGAAAATAGAAATCGCTCAAACTGGTTTTCTTTTTAACGTTTCAGAGGCTCCTAGTTATTTTCAGAAAAAATGTAGGGATTAAAAACTGGAATTTGAGGGTAGTGAGGGGTATTTAATGTTAGCATGTTTATACGCTGCCAACCCCTGTAGTTCTCGCACCTATTAGACATATCTCACACATCATAGATTTCTCTGTACATTTGCCCTGAAAAGAGAATGAATGTTTTCGATGCATGTCTCTGACTCTGTTCTATGGGTTACCGGCGGACGTGTCGTTCTCGATAAGTGTCTTACTATTACTGCCGCGGTGCCAGATGGACAGTACTATCGGTAGGGCAGGGAAAGTATGTCTATGGACTACTTGTATAGGCCTGTTTCGCTGATCTTAATCTATTTGACTTCTCTGTTAAAAATGTTCGTAATTAACTTATTTCTCAGGCGGTTCAACGTGTGTCGAACGTAATCATTTATGAACTGATGACGGCGTTGCGTGGGAAGTGCAGAGCCAACTTGACGTCATCTTGTTCTCTAGAAGTTAGAGCACCTAGATCCTTTTCTACGCTGGAGCCGCAAGAAAAGAACTCGAATAATATAAAGGTACCGCAACTACGCGTACTATACAGAAGATCTGTCAAAGGTAAGTCGAAGTCGAGAAAGTATGAATGTATATATTCTCGAAACCCAAAGAACTTACCAGCCGTACCGCCCAGTTCCCGATTTACAGAACTTTACCGAGAATGAGAAGCAGACGCCTGGCAGGTCATACGATTGGCCTAAGGTACAGCGGAATCATGGAAAAGAGCTCGTAGGAAACATTCCGTTTTTTCTCTATATGCACACGGGCAGGTACCGAGGACACCGGCTTGATGAGGCGCCAGCAGCTGTCCATAAACCAAACGAAATAAAATGTCCCAGTAGACCTGCTCCTCCATCAATTTTTCCAAACCAACGGATTCAGTCTAGGTAAAGGGACAAGCCTGCAATTTGTTTGTCTCCAAAATCTCAGTTTGTAGTCAGGATGATAGTGCATACTACAAGTGGACTAGACATAAGCTAATTTTTTACAGTGCTGTCATGAAATTTGTCCTTTTAGTGTTATTTTTTGGAAGTGCGACTGTTTGCAGATACTTTTGGTGTCAAGGGGCACCAGCTTAATGAAGGAAGATGTTTCCATCGGTAAGTATTATTATTTTGATACAACGTTGTCAGTTTTATAGGCAATGGTTGACAAATGAGTCGACGACAAACAATGTAAACGTATAGGCTTGACTGCTTCTAATCTGAATTCGTTGTTCCAAACGGCAAAGTAGGGCCCCGAATTTCCCTCTGACCTGGGGACTTTTCAGTCGCTGGCATCGATCTCTTGTGTGCCCGGGGACTCTTATATTGCTTAAGAAGGCCCTGCGTAGATGGAAACTACAAAGACATATTAGTGATAAAAGAGAGCTAGGTTGTCGATTTACCGTCAATGAAAGAGAGATTTGAGATTGACGTGCCATCGACCAGTCAGATGAACTACATCAAATATGGTTGGAACAGATAACACAGCGTCTCCACAGCTGCCTCTAAGCTGACAAGGAATGTTTATAGCAAGTCATTACCTTAGTGATCGAACCTTCGACAAGCCGTCTGGACCAAAAGATTGGTCATAATGGGTTCCGATAACGAACTTGGATTGAGTAGACTGTATGTTTAGTGCAGACCGACTCCTTACCTTCGAGATCCGATGAAGAATGAATAATGGAGGAGAGCTTCCTTTCTGGTTCCTCTGCGCATGAGCAGCGACAGAGACAAAAGGTCGCGCGCGTATGTTGAAAAACAAAACACCGGAATATATGGGAACGGAACATCGATCATTTGGGTGATTCTCATTAGTCCCAGGAGTGCTAAGCTGTTTAAATTTGCTTACTATTGAGTTCGATATAGAATGATTCTTTTTATACAGGGTGATTCACAAGTCGTGACCAAAAATGAAACATCATACACAGGACCGCATTTTAAGGGGGGCTTTTTACTTCCAGGGCTTCATTAAAAAGATACGGGTTGACGTTTAAAAATTTTTTTTTAATATCTTCAAAACTGTAACTGCAACATTGTGGATTTACCCAAGTATTGTCCACATCCAAAAGTCTTTACTTAAAATTAACGTGCACTAGTGACGGAGATACAGGGGTTAGTGGCATTACTCTTCTAAATACAAATAGTACGCCACTGTTTTTTTCAAATCACGCAATTTTTCGAATTCTACCTTCAATTTGCTACAAACAAAACTCTTGTGTTTTTTTCCTAGAGTGCATTGTTTTCGCAAAAATAAAAAAAAAACATAATTTGTTTTATTTTTGTGTCGTACTATTTTTATTCGTAAAATTGTGTTGTGTTTTTCAGGAGGATGCATAAACTTTAACAATTCATTAAAAATCAATGCTACTATTGTGTTGAATGATTTTCGTTCTGTGAATAGAAAATGATATTACAAACTTGTGTATGCAATCATTTTTTCAAAAACTCCTGAAACTTAATGAAATGAAATGGCGCTTGGTCAAGTATTGTTTTCAAAAAGAATGCCCATTTTTCCTTTGACTTAATGACCTTAACACAAAAATGTTACTTGGTCGTGCTATGCAAAATAAGTAATGCATTACAGAAAGATTCTTTATTTTTGTATTTTAGTAATTAGCATTAAATGCATTGAAATATTAAAACTACATAAATTAAAACATTATCGAAACCAAATAAGAAATTGCTTGAATGACAAATATGTTGTAATAAACACAATTATATACTGATTCAAAAATAAAATGAAGCAAGAAGTAACCACGCATTTTCGAAATGAATCAAGAACCTGAATCGAAAATTTGTATTATTCATCCTCTAGCTCGAAATCTAGTTGACTAATGAACCCACCTGTATCTTCCTCAATACTTGAATCGCCAACTAGATTCCTATAACTTCTTGGAATCCTTGAGTATAAGACTTAGTAATGATTTTAAATCGTCTAGCTTTTTGTCTGTTATAAGTTTCCCATTTGGCCATATTTTTTCGAGAGGTTTACTAAGTAATGCTTGAATCGAAGTATTGGATGATCTGCCACGTCTTTTTTCAATATTAATCCCTTTAGAGGGAGCTTCAAAATCAGTTTTAACAAAAATTCTGAACGGCTTGTCTTTAAACACAAACACCTCAATTTTTCTAATTTCGAGCCAATTTACCTTATTACCTTCTATATCAACCTTTCGATTTACAATGGCTTTCTCCAATGCCACTGTGCTGAAAAAGTTTTCACTCTTCATCATATGTACAAGAAGGGGATTTTTTGGGCGGCAAGATCTCATCACGTTTATATAATCATCCGGGGAGTACATACGCTGTTGTAACTAACTTCAAAGCACATTCGCCGATTATATGCAAAACTTTGCTAGTGCAAATGCCTACTCTACACAAAATCTGATCGCTTGGTCATGTGTTGCAAAATAAATAACAACAAATATTACGCCTTGGGCTTAGTTAAAAATGTTTTCGCTTTTGAACCTCCGGTCTCTATACTGCCTGCATTTTTTTATAGGTAAGTTGAAGTACTCTGTGCCTCAGATGGCAGCAAAATCTGGAAATTTATCAAATGGCGCTTGGTCAAGTTATGCATAATGCGGTCTGATTTTAAGTAAAGACTTTTTAATGTGGAAAATACTTAGGTAAATCCACATACCAAATTTTAGATCATTCCAGTTGACGGTTTTAAGATATTACGAAAAAAAATTGGTAAGCAAGCAACGTAAATAAAAATTATGTTGTTTCCATTGGTTTATCGAAATGACATCATTGATAAGAAACAGACTGCAGCTGTCAGTTGCAAGCAGAATCATGTCGCACGATAAGAAACTGTAACACGTTTCATGCGTCATCACTGTTATTAGGTCGAATGTCGAACGGCCTCCGGAGACTCCAGAGATTCGAGATGTTGTGGTATTACTTATTAATGACGCACGCGTCCTCCTCAACACAACTGTCTGCTGCAGAATCACGTAACTTGCACGATTTCGAAATGTAACACGTTTTTACGTCAAAAGGTTGGATGAACTCATGAGGCATACTTTTTCTAATGACGCAGTTCCTTGAAAATAATAATGTAGGGCAATGGATGTGGATCTTTCATAATTTGTATCTGCCACAAACCATCCAGAAGACATACTATAGAACCAAAAATGATGATATATTCCCCACGCCTACTGGCGGTGAAGTAAAACAAGTAGAAGCATTCAAAGAATCTATCATCGTATTGATGCAGAACTATATTTAGCCCAAGTTAATTTTTGGCGGCATTGCGTTTATTATAGCAAACTATTTAATACACAAATAATTTGTAAGGCAACAGAGCTATGGTAGTGGTGCTCTTGCATCACTTTCATGTAGAAGTACCTGCATTCGTTTTGTACGTGACGTGAGACTGTCCCAACAGTGATGAGGCTATCAAATCAGTGTTTGGCTCATTTCGGCATTGAAAAAGAACAGCTGTGCCAGCTTTCATCAGAACACATTCTTAAAATAACATTTTCTTAGTTTATCGTGGAGCTACAGTCAAAACAAACCATTTTTACAGTTTGTTGACATGGACCAGCGCAAGAATATATTTATAAGCAAAGTTCAAAATCTCACCATTTTGAATTCGGTGGATTTTGCACATACTTCACATTCAGCTGAGAGTAGTCTGAAGATGTCTCCTTACTTAAGCTGAGTTTTAGTAAAAAGATCCTGCATTAAACTGAGCAAGCTTAATAATTCTTGGCATACAGGATTTGTCCGGAAAGTAATAGGACTCATTTTCTTCCGCCATGACTGTACTTCGGAGCGTGCGCGTACCGACTGGATTCGGTAGAGGGCGTTCCTAGCTAACGAATGAGCGGCTGGTCAGTTGTCTCCGAGCACTTGCAGAGTCAAGACAGGCATTTTCGCGCGACGTGTTTCTTTGAGTGCCGCAAGCCGAAAATGCAGCATTCGTTAGAGCAGAGGTACGCGATTAAATTCTGTGTGAAACTCGGTAAATCTGCGACAGAGACGTTTGATATGATCAAGCAGGCTTACCCAGGTGTTGCTTTAGCTTTCGGTGGCACCAGACCTTTTTGGAGTGCCGGGAAGAGGTCGCTGATGAAGACCCCGGTTAAGAGAACACTTGATTATTTCTATCGCTAAATAAAACAAGTGCTGTCGCTTTATCAACGGACTTAGAAAATATGACCATATATCTGAAAAAGTTAAGGACTTGAATCGGTTAAAAATTACAGTAGCATTCCAACATGATATCATAATGTTTATAAATAATTTGATCAATTATTCTACATCCCCAGTATACCGTAATGACAAAATACATTTTAGATCAAACCTTCATACTTTAAACATAAGAGATTAGCTATCGCTATCTTCCTAGAAGTTTTACGTATCAATCAATCACGAACTTCTACTCACTTCCTTTAGAACTTAAACAATTACCGGCATGAAAATTTAGCGTAGCACTTAAGCAATATTTGTACGATATACACGTGAATTATTAGCGCATTATAACTGGTTAAGAAGCGGGATAAGTAAGTTTGTACAGTAAAGATAAGTCTAATTATTTCATTTGACTATTTAAATTTTTTCATCTTAAAATCTTCCAGTGTAATACGTCTACCTAAGGTTAGGTGTAAGAGTAGTTTTGAGCTTAATCTAACCATTTGTAAATAATAGTAATAAAGACGATTATTATTATTATATTTCACACATCATGAATTTCCCCGAAAATTCATCCTTAAAGCTTGGAGAAGTATTTTCAACAAATCCTGTTTACCACGGTGGTTCACATCCTGATGGAGTGCCCTACTTATCAAAATGCCAGAAGTCTCAACCACCTTTCTAATGACATCAGTGAAGTGTTACTGCATCAAACCGATAAACTTGTGAAATTTATCAAAGACATTGACATGTACTTCAATACATAGATTGTTGCGCCGTCCATGCCGCTAATAACCCTACGAGGTTGATGCGGTACTATCTGCTAAATAAAAAAAAAACCTGTTTACGCCTGATCGCTCATCGCTGGCACTGAGAGAAGTTTATAGATTATTATGGACTAATTGTTGAGGTCCTCTTGTCTGACTTGATCCAATTAATTTCTTTGTTAGACATGTCCGTAGCTGTTTTTCGTCAGTGGATCTAACATGCGAAACAAAATTAAACCTTACTAGGGCCGCTCAATAAGTACCCGTGTTAGAAATGAAGGAACCATTTTTCCCAAAAAATTTCTTTTTATTTTTTAACATAATCCCCTTTTAGAAAGATAAACTTTTCCCAACGTTCCTGCCTTTTTTCAACCCTCCAAAAAATAGGATTTGTCGAACTCTCCAAAATACGCCTCTGTCTCGGCGAAGACTTCGTCGTTTGAGCTGAATTTTTTCCCCGCGAGCCATTTTTTCATGTCAGGGAACAAGAAAAAGTCGCACGGGATGAGATCGGGTGAATACGGGGGGCGCGGCAGTACTACATAATGCAATTCATCCAGTTTGGTGGCGACAACTCCAAATGATTGTGCTAGTGCGTTATCGTGGTGAAACTGCACCTTCTTTTTCGTCAATTTTTTGTCGAAGCGGTCCAATAACTCACTATAGTATTGCCCAGCGATCGTTCTTCCTTTTTCTAAAAAATCCACGAGGATGATGCCGTTCGCATCCCAAAAAATCATCGCAATGGCCTTTCCGGCCCATTTGACCGTCTTCGCCTTCTTTGGAGCAGATTCACCGAGAGAAATCCATTGTTTTGATTGTTGCTTAGTTTCTGGTGTGTAATGATGAATCCAGGTTTCATCGACGGTGACAACTCCGCGCGAAAACTCCTTCGGATTTCGCTTAAATTGCTCCAGACACTGCTTCGACGTAAACAGCCGCATCCGCTTGTTGTCCACCGTGAGCAATCGCAGCACCCATCGGGCCGACAATTTTTTCATAGCCAACTTATCATATAAAATATTAATTGCCATTCCGGTCGACACGTCTACGCCCTCTGCTACTTCGCGCATTTTCGTTCGTCGATCAGCGAGAATCATGTGGTGGAGTTTTTGAATGATTTCCTCGGTAACCACGTCTGCCGGGCGTTTTGGACGATCCTCACCAAAAACGGATGTTCGCCCACGTTTAAATTCGTTGAAGCAATATTTAACTGTGGTCATAGATGCGAAGTCTCCCCATAAACAGCATCCAACTTTGCTTTTATCTCCTCGAATTTTTTCCCATCCAAAAACAAAAAGCGAATTACTAAACGATACTGATCTTTTTCCATCTTAGCGAAAATCACGAAACACGTGTTACTCGAATGGCTGAGAAATCCAAACTAACCTATCAATCAGTCTGAAATTTATTGTGCCGTCGTTTGATAGATGGCAGCACACGACGATAACATTAACTTGCCTCAGGAACGCCCTCAGTCGTCAACTCGGGTACTTATTGAACCGCCCTCGTATCTACAATGCAGTTTTGGACAGAAGCTACTTCTACATTAAGGCGACGATGGATTTTTATTTTTGGTTACAAATTAGTATCAAATCCTAAATACAATATGAGGCTGTGAATATTAAGCCAAATAGTACAAACATAAGAATTCAAAAATGTATTGTAAAACTAGTACTATGATGTAGTTCATCCGCGTAGTCCCAGTGTTGCCTTTCTGCACTTGCAAATACGCAATAAAATAGACTGCAAATTATCGAAACTCCCATGGTGATCCAAAATACTATCAGCCACGAATCGATAGATCGAGTGTGTGTCAAACAGCCCACGATGTATGGACCTAAAATCCCTGCGGTAGCTCCTAAACCGTTCACTACTGCCATTATAGTTCCGGCATAGTGAATTGTCAAATCATTTACGTTGATTTTCATCCCCGCATAAAATGGGCCAATACAACATATCCCTGCAGTATAGGATATTATAGCGCCCACTCTGTGACAGCCTAGATAACCCGTCAGCAGCAAAAATGCAGACGGTACTATTATTGAAAATGTTGTGCATATTTTTCTCGCTGTTGCTAACGACAACCACTTGTGGTTCGTTACAATGTCTGAGAAGTAACACACTATAATTGAAAACATCCAGAGCAGAAAAAATGGGATAGAAGTAAATAAAGCATTGCTTCTTACACTCATTTTCAATATGTCCTTGAGGTATTTAGGCAAATAGGTGACTAAGGTGAAAAAAATGAAGTTATGTCCGAACTGTCCAGCTAATAGAGCCCAAAAAGGCATCCCTCTGAAAATGGCGCGCCACGGGACATGGAACGACTTTCCATGTGGCGGTACTTCTTCCAATACCTGATCTCTTTCAGCTTCAGTTATGAATGGATGAGAATCTGGGCCAGAAAACACCATAAACGAATAGAAAATGTACCAGAGAAGAGCCATCGCAGCCCAAACATAAAAGGGCATATACCAGTGTCCAGTTTCGTGGATGATTACTCCTGTTAGGCCGCATCCAGTGACGGTACCTATGTTAGATCCACCAAACGCTACTCCTCCCAAAAATGCTCTATGTTCTTTAGGTACCCAGCATTGTATGAACGCAGAAACGGTTGGGAGTATAGGCCCTTGAGCAAAGCCTAAGATCATTCGTAGTGCTACTGCAGTAACGTCACCTCTCTCAACCACTGTCACGAGAATTGGAAAGACTGCTGTTATCAGACAAGAGACAACAACGCAGGTTCCCATCACATGCCTTGCTCCAATTTTGTCCGCCAACCACCCACCTAAAAAGGAACCAAATAGGGATAACGTATACTTGTGAGGAAAACTCTTGATATCGTAAGCATTTGTCGGCATCCCTCTAGCTTACGACGGTATCTACAGGGTGTTCCGTATTTAAATGGACATAGTGAAGTGATACGAGGTCTCAAAAATTAGGTGATGAGACTGGCAACGTAGCGTTCCATCTGGCAACACTGGAAGCGCCAGGCTTGGAGGGTAGACAGGAGAACATGTGATCCGCCTTCAGTACACGTTTGAACTCACTAGAGTCATTTTCTCGTCCGTAGCGATTTTTTTTTGTGAAACATTTAACATTTAAAAATGAGTGACATCAATTTCAAGCATCGGTGAGCATCAGCTTTTACTTCAGACTTGGGCACAGTGCAACGGAAACTCTTGCTAAACAGGCCTACGGAGATAGTGTTTTGTCAAGAGCCCAGGATTTTCGGTGGTTTAAGGCACTTTCAGAAGGGAGATAGTCAATTGAAGATGAACCACGAAGCGGAAGGCCTTCATGTTCAAGAACCGATGAAACAGATGGTGAATTAATGACAGAAACGAAATCTTGTGCGTTCAGATCGTCAGTTGACAGAGTTAAATTTGATTCACACCACCATCCATTAGATCAAGAGCAGCTCTGTGTTATATCGCGATAATTCTCCTTGTCACACAGCAATGTCAAAAAACGAGTTTTTGACCAGTAAAAACATTCATTGAGAGTAACAATATAAAAGTATTTGAAAAAAAATTTAGAAAAAATCAGTCCCATCACATAATTTACATTCCTAGTAGGTAGTATGGACCGAGATTTTTCATATCTGTTCTAAATTTAGTTTTTGCGAATATCCTGTATATTTATCTATAGCCGCAAAATATTTATTATCACATATCTCAGGCACCGATTTTGTTTTAAATTTTGCACGACAAAATGTTTGCCTATGAGCAACGAATACCCAGCTAATCGGTTTATGATATTCAATATCCAGGGCTGACCTCAACAGTTTTCTGTCTTCATACTAACTATAAGTTAGCTATAGGAACTGAGCATTGCTATTTTTTGGTATCTTTTGGTATACCAAACACTGTCCCTCTTTGACATCACTCACGTTTACAGCACAATTCTTACGATTTATACGTATATACGAGTATTGTGACTTGTGACAAATCTAAGTCTGAGTAATATATTAGTTATACCAGATTGCACTTAAAAAGTGATTTATGTTCTGTTTGTTGTTTAATAGTGATTTGAAACGTGTGTAAAGCTTGATTGATTTTGTTCGGGGTTGGTGTTGCAGCGAAGAATTATGTTAGATGAAACCCTAAATTGGAAATAGACATTTATGACATTTGTTTAGCGGTGCGTCTGTGGCCTGTCCAGAAAATGCGTCTATCGATGCTCAAAGTCAATTCCACACGTCCCGTATCTCTTCCCATGTGTCTATTTATGTTGATATATTGAATTCGTTTAAATTACGGTGCTTCTGTACCTAACTTGAATATGTACAGCCTTGTAGGGTAGACTGGGTACGGTTGAAACATTTTAGCGTTTATTGTCCATAGCATCGGGATTAGCTGAGCGAGCGATATCGGAAATATGATAAATAAAAGACCATATATTTGTTTACTAATAGGCAATGATATTTGAGATCACTGTTTTGTATTTTATCTGTAACATTAAATTAAAAAACAAATGTAATTTGTTTCAACCGTCCCCATGCCAGGGTCGGTTGAAACAGTGCCTGGGGTCAATTGAAACACATACAAATAATACGAAGTATAGTAAATAAGGATGTTTTATTAATCATCTAATAATATTTTACGACTCGTAATGGCACAGTTAAACATCAAAAATATATTTTCAATAATATTCAAGTCTTTGACGATACTTACAGACTAACAGTAAAACTTCAAAAGATATACTTTTCGATGAATAGATTAACAAATGACAAAACAACAATACTTTTTGTTAGAGAATAAAAATAAACAGTTTAAAACAAAAACTTATCCTTATTTAAGAAAAATCCTATTTAAGAAAAAAATAAAGACTTATTATTTCTATAAAAATCCATATTTTAAACAAAAATATTAAAGTGGTTATGAGATCATTCAGAATCACAATTATGGCAAATATAAATAAGACTACCTTTTGTGCACTCTTCATGCGCCCACATTTTACATTCTGTGCATTGTATCCACTTTTCCCTCGGTCTGCTTTCTGAATATGCTGACACACAAACAAGACAGTAGTATTCCTCTTCTTCTGATGATTCATCTTGCGTGATATTTTTTTTTCTGTTTCTAACATTTCTTTTCGTCTTTTCCTCTCCATCTAATCTTTTCTTAACTTGCTTAGCTTTGGTTCGTTTCAATCTGTTTTCATGTTCTCTTCTTATCTCTTCTTTCTCAGGTGTATCGGTGTATATTGTGGATTTTCTGGTTTTTCGCCCCCTGTTTGTTGATTTCCTTGGAGGAGCTTTTGGTAGTGGTCGTACTGCTTCCGGTGAAAACAAAAGTGTTGTACTCGGAGACGGGATATTTTTCGTTTGATTTGACAAGACAGGAATGGATTGAGAACTTGTAGAGGGTTTTGGTGAAATTTGCTGAACAATATCAGTACTTTGATGTCCGGGTAATGTAATCAAAGGTTCTGGATCTGCAGTAATATTTTCCTGTTGTCTGTCTGGGACTTGTGAACACTGTGACATATTTGCAGTCAGTTGTTGTACAGAAAGAGCTGTATTAGAAAGCTCCTCCGACATTTCTGGTAGTTCAGAAGGTGATGGTGTTGGTGTTTTATCCTCAGGTGTGTAAGTATTCTGAATATGGCCATCAGCTGCCTCATTTGTATTCGTATTTAGAGGATTTGGTCTGTCTGTCACAAATGCAGGTGCAAAATCGAGTTCACTAAACAAATGCCGATTAAATGGAACAATCCCAGTTGTGCGAAAACCAGCTTGAATGTTGGATTGTGTAAGAGCAAGCGGCATAGCAATACCTAAAATCCCTGGGATGTCGTATATTGACATTGTCTTGCCGGGATGACTTCGCATCCATCCATCACAGGTCGAATTTATAGCTTTTTTCAGCGGACCGAATACAGATCTATCAAGCGGTTGGAGTTTATGTGAGCAGTGGGGAGGGAACGATAGCACCACAATGCCATTCGTCTTGCAAAAGTCTAGAGCATTAATATGAATATGTGAAGAGTGGTTATCAAGTACAAGTAAGACTTTATGTGAAGAAGAAGCATTTGTATGTTTCTTGAAGTGTTCCAGGAAATGAATAAATGTTTCATCCTGCATCCAGCCAGAAGGATTTGCACTGCCAGCAGATCCTATTGGTCCATCCCTGATAAAGTGGTCTTGATATCGCACTCGCGGAAAGACGAAGAATGGAGGAATAGCATTTCCGATGGCATTAACTGCAAAGGCAACTGTGACTAAAGTACCCCTCTCACCTGAAGTCACTGAACCTACTTGGCGAGCACCACGTCTAGCTATTACTCTGTCGGGTTTTTGCACAGTAGTGATGCCAGTCTCATCAACATTATATATATTTTGTGGCTCAAACTTATAACGGTCCATAACAGTACTCAAATTGTCGTAAAAAGCATCTACATTATTTCTATTAAAGCTAGTCGCCCTAGAAAGACTTGTAGCCTGTGCTACACGTACTGAAAGTCCGGAATTTCTTCTCATAAACATTCGAAACCATTCGTCGCCAGCCATTTCGTTGTCATCCCATGTCCGAGGTCGTGATAAGTCGTACTTGATTGTTAGTTCGTATGCCAATTTCCTGACATCCTTTTTAGTTAGGCCAAAATAGATATCTGCACATCTAGTTAAATAATTAGAAAGCTCACGTTCTTGTTCTTGGTTAAACACTCGATTGTGAGCCTTATATCCCACTTCTTGATTTTCATCACCACCAGCCGCATCTCGTTTACGTACGTATCTAAACAGGGAACAGTGGTTCAGCCCATTCTTTTCTGCCGCTGTTCTTAAAGAAGATCCCGCTTTCACATCTTCATAAGCTTGTTTATAAGTCGATAAGTCAGCCTGGCCTCTCGTAGTCTTCCTTTGGCGTACCCTTGGCATCTAAAAAACAAGACAATCAAATAAATAAGCTGTTTCAACCGTACCCACAAAAAATGTTTCAACTGTCCCCATCCCCCCTTCTAGGTATAAAACGGCTCACAATAGGAATGATAATAAATTTGAATAAAAACTCATCATACTACCATATTCTACAAACTTCAATTGCAACGATACAAAATGCTCAATACTTTAGCTTTAATCAAAACGATAATAATTGCAAAAATGTACGAACAAAAATACTTACTTTACCGCCAAAAAACACAATGGTGTCCCCTACACACAAGCACAGCGCGCGAAGAGCAAAATAATACTGAAATTCGTGTTTCGACTTGTCGTCTGCTCCGATCTTCTTCTGTTTTCGTCCCCCACCATGAAAGGCTCGCGAGATATTCGCTTTGTTTCAACCGTCCACCGTTTCAACCGTACCCAGTCTACCCTATTCCTGTTCTTGTTTCGTGCAAACATATATATTATCAAAATAATTACGATCTAACAGATATAGTTTTTTTCCAAAGATTTCCAACATTCTTACATGCGATCAACACCGATTCGAAAACAACTGTGCCGTAAATCTAAGTTCGACAATCAAAGTCTGAAGAACAACTGTAACATCTATATTGAATTTCAAAACATAATTTACTATACCTATTGATATTTTTATCACCTGCTGATATAACAGAAGTGCTTGATTGTGTCAGCATTTGCACCAATTACTTGATTTGCTTAATGGACAGTTCCGAGTCTTAATCCTTAAGCTTAGTATACACTAGTAGACCCCGCTGCTCAGCTTGTCTATAGGCAGCCTGGAGACGGTCTCAAGACACGATCTATAGGTGGTCTATAGGCATCCTTCTTTGTCTCGTCTAGCGCCCATTTCGGTCATGTTCGTTTTCGCCGTCAAAAAG